CGCCCTCCCGAGTAGGTCGACTTCCGCGCCTCGAGCGCGGCGCAGGCGAGGCCTCCTGCCCCACTGCGTCCGAGTCCCTTCATCCTACCACTGTGTCCTCAGCCCCTGTCCTGTTAACCGTGCACCCACACACCCGTACCCATCTCACCACCCCACCGCCCACCACCACCCACCACCATCACCAGCCGACAGGCCCGCCTTGCGCTATTCAGGCGAGGCACCACGCGGCCAAGGGTGAGCGTGGCAGTGTGGACGACTGCAAGGCCGAGCAGGAACGCGGCCCGCGGCTCCGGAGACGAAGTGTACCTTAAGATGCGGATGCAGCAATGGTTGAGGCGAGCACGCTAGCCACTGCAGGCGCGCGGCCCGTGGCTCCGGCTGCAGCTGCACGTCGAGGGCGTTCCTCTCGCGGACCCGGCGAGCTCGTCCAAACAGCGAGTCGAGACCGCCGCTGCTCGAGCACAGGCGTCGAGCTCGCCAACCCGCCGTCGCTGCACTGTGCGCACAAGGACTTCCTCAAGGCGAAACCCGCGCTGCTTCTCCGTCTCTCACGGCCTCTGCCAGGACTCCCTCGCCCACTCAAGTCCCACGATTCACTCAGTCTTACCCCCCCTCCCCCTCCAGGCGGGCTCCGTCGACACACTTGTCACCCTCGACCTCTCCTTCCTCGGCACGCTGCTACGGACCGGCAAGCCGCCCCCTTCTGGCGCCTCACGCCGTGGTGAAGAAGCATGATCCCAGGGCACGGATATGTGTCAGGCAAGCTCTCTCCGGCACACGTGGTCTTCGAGTCGTTTGACGTGAAGCGCGCCCAGATCTTCTTTGAGCTCAAGGCGGGAGATAGCGATGAACGAGAGTCACTCTAGCAGCAGCTCTCGAGATCTCTTTTCTCAAGGCGCACGAGCCGATGAGAGGAGGACCAGCTCAGCTCATCACTAATCGAGGCCGTCTCTGGTCTCAAGGCGGGAGAGCTAAACATCAACGGGCTGGTGCGCGAGCTTGCCAGGCGGAGATCACATCTCTTCGTATCTCGGCACCTCTCGGCATAACGCGCCCAGGTGCGCGAGCTCGCCGAGCGGGAGGTGTGCGCCGCCCTCGCCGCGAGAGGGAAGTGTCTCGGACTCTTCCCGCGCCCGTGCCAAGCGCCGACGCCGCCGACGCCCAACCTGCTCCGGCTGCGCATCGGGGCGGTGCGCTCTCTCTCTCTCTCTCTCTCTCTCTCTCTCTCTCTCTCTCTCTCTCTCTCTCTCTCTCTCTCTCTCTCTCTCTCTCTCTCTCTCTCTCTCTCTCTCACGGCTCTCTCGGCTGCCTCGAGGCTGTCCCCCCCTCGGGTGGCTCTGTGTCTGAGGGAGCTGCGGGGGACGCGGCCCTTCCTGTCTGTCCCAGTGCGCCGGCCCGAGCTGGTCCCTTCCGTCGGCTCTCTGG